GCAGCCGCACCACAAGTTCTGGCGCAGCCCTCCCCTCTCCCAAGTACTCCTCCTCTCCCGCGGTGCTTGGCGAAGCCCTGCAGGATTGCCACGCTCCTCCACCACCACCACACTGTTATGCTGCTGCTGGATGGAGTCTTCCTCAACCTTTCCCTCTCTCCTTGCTGGATCAAGGCATGGAAGACGTCACCGGGCTGTACGTGTGTTGAACGCGGAGGTGCCGTCCGTTTGGCACTAGGATCTCCAGTGATTTGGATCACGACGAGTACGACTCCTTCAACCCCGTTCTCTTGAACGCTTCCGCTTAGCGATCTACAAGGGTATGTAGATGCACTCTCCTTCCCCTCGTTGCTAGTCTCTCCATAGATAGATCTTGGTGACACGTAGGAAAATTTTGAATTTCTGCTACGTTCCCCAACACCCTTTGGGTCTCGGCGCCGGGGGCCGTCCAGGGGTGTGTAAAGGAGCGACCTTTCCACTCATCTCTTTGGTTGGGGCAGCGATGGGTCTCGGGTGCGGTGGTGTCAAGGTCTTGGATGCCGGGGGGACGGCCCTGGTGGTGGTAGCGCGGTGCTCATGGGCAGAGGCCGTGGCTTGGTGCTGCCCGGCGACCATGGCCGTGTGGGCGGCATGGTGGCAGGGGTGTGGCGTTCGGTGGCGGTGAGTGTTTGCTGGGGTGAAAACCTGTTCTATCCTCGGACGGACCGGCGGCGGCGTAGCGCGTTACCATCTTGAAGGCGTCATCGCAGCTATCACCGGTCATCGTGTCGCTCCAGAGGAAACTCTGACCCCCGGGTCAGGCGGTGGCGGCACGCTAGCGTCGTAACCTTCTTGGAGGCGCCGCCTTGGAGCTCACGGTTCGTCATATGCGGCTTCATCTCTTCGCGGTGGCGTGTTCCCGGTGGAGGTCCCTGATTGCTCTTGTAGTGTTAGGGGTGGTGTTGCTGCGCTCAGCGCCTATGTATCCCGCCTTGGATGTGTGCGTGTGTTGTCGTGGGATGTGCTTGTACTTGGGCTGTGGTTGATCTGTGCTTTATATATAAAGCAGGGCGAAAGCCTTTTTCGGTATAACCCTGACTGAAAAATGTCAAGCATAGCAGAGTAGAATACAGAGCAATGGGCCACTCAAACTAACATATCGTTCTAGGCAGTCAGGGGCGTCGCCTCGTATTCATTCCTTGGCAGCACGTTTTGGTGTGTGTGTTATCACCCAAGAGCTCAATCTTCTCTTCCTTTTTTTATACTCGTCTTGGTTGTCATGCTCGTCCTAGTACTTTAATTTCATGTGTTTTTTATTCTTCTTTCCTTTGGGCAACATCTTTGTTTGGCAACTATGTAATAAATGATGTAAATAAGTTAGATTGTATGCCTCTTATGATGCAGAGACTGGGTAGTAAAAGCTTCCAGTATATATAAAAAACGAAACATCAGCAACTTATGTTGACTGCATTGTACGAACGCCAAATCATGGAGGACAGACCCAACATTGTATGAACACCGTATCATGGAGGGCAGACCCCATACGTTTTTTCCCATTCATCTTTGGGGCCTAGGAGCAGAAGACATCATGCTCGCCTCCTAAATAACCTATATGCATGCCACCATCATTACCACATGGTTTCTTAATATCACATTCTAAAAGGGTGAAGAGGCCTCTACTATGATCATGGCTCACCTCTTAGAAAAGAAAACGATCTTATCTTATTGGAGCGAGTCACGGTGCAATCATCGTTGCTTGACTAGTTAGCACTTAGCAGAACTGTGTGTAGCAAGTTGGCAGTAAAAGAAAATTTATCCTCAATCTCGATCGTGTGTGTTCCTCGATCAAATGGTGGCGGACAGAATGAAATCGTACGAAGATGCATTTCTAAAGCAGAGAATCGGAGCCCTTTCAAAAAAGCCAACAATGTCCTTGCAATGGTACGTGTTCCAACATTTTCTTTTAGGAAAGGTGTCACCTTTCTCGAGTAGTTAAGTGCATTCTTTTGAAACTTGGGGAACTGCCACTTCAAATAAACAAGCGTCTTATATAGTAAAAAGAGAGAGAAGATGAAGATTAGTACTATTACTAGGAAAGAATGACGATGAGGGTGTAGTAGAACCATCGACGCTACCAATATATAAGTTTAGATGACTGAGTAAGCCCGATCGGAGCTTAATTAGCTTGCGTCCATATCATCCACCAAGTTAGCTTGCAAGAGAGCGCAAAACATACACCAGCATGACCACGCCCTCGCAATCCCTGTCCCCGCCGCTGCCAATAATCCTACTCCACTTCCTCCTCCTTTCAGCAGCGATATTCTCATCGGCGTAGGCTGGAATGTTCAGACTATTGTCTATACCTACCCGTGGTCGCCGCCGGTGGATGGCAACTCACGGGAGAAATTCATTCTCTCCTGCCTTTCAGACCTCGGGGCCCGGAAGTTCCTCAAGTATGCAACCAACGGGTCGTGCAAGGGGCGGGGCTGCTGTGAAGCTGCCCTGCCGGAAGCATTTCCCATCACTGAGCTTGCACTGACGTTCAGTTTGGGCCCAACAAACACCTTGTTTGAGACCAATCCGTGCTCCTACGCCATGGTGGTGGAGAGGTCATGGTACAACTTCTCCACACCGGACATGTACGGCAACGAGGTGCTGCCCAAGAGATTCCCAAGCGGTGTCCCCTTTGTTATCGATTTTTCCATCCCGAATGGTTCATGTCCCACGAAAGGCCAGCAGCCACCATGGGACTATGCCTGTGTCAGCGGCAACAGCTCATGTGTCAATGCGATTAGTGGCCATGGCTATGTCTGCAAGTGTTGGGAACATTACGATGGCAACCCTTATATCGCCAATGGATGCCAAGGTTGAATTAAAGTTTTTAATTTGCACATCTAGACTCTCTTTTAATTTTACACCACATTAGCTTATATAATAACTCCCATCTTAATTTCATACATTTATATTCCATATTTTCCAGACATCGATGAGTGCAAGCTCCGCAATTTGTATCCTTGCTCCAGTGACGGGATCTGCAAAAACACCTTGAGAGGCTATGACTGTCCATGTAAGCCTGGGATGAAAGGCAACGGCATAAAAGGAACCTGCACAGATAAATTCCCCGCAGCAGCACGGGTGATTTTGGGTATTTAGGCTACAACTGTTTCTGTTGTTAGATACTCGTATCTACTCCCTCCTTCCGAATTACTTGTCTTAGATTTATCTAGATACGGATGTATCTAGCACCAAATTAGTCTAGATACATATGTATCTAGACAAATCCAAGACAAGTAATTCAGAACGGAGGGAGTAGCTATTAGTACACGATCTGAATCTATCCTTTCTTCCTCTGTTTGTAGTTCGTGCATAATTATGTTGTTATATCTACGTAATGTTTCTTAATCAGCATGCGTCCCCTCAGACATATTCCTGGATAACTAACAGAACATGGTAGGTATCCCGAAGCAAAAAAATAAAAAATGGTAGGTATCGTCTATCTGGTGGCGTCCGTAAAAGGTCAAAAAACGAACAAAATTGTTGCCGTGGCAGGAATGCAACATAATGTTTATCTTCACTTTATATTTTCTTCTTATTATACCTAGTACCCTCTACTAAGCCTGACCTACTAAGATATGACAATCTGGAACAGTCGTAAAGCTAAACAGCTGGTTAACTGGTGCCAACAATTTTGGAGGCCCAGAACTCAGTCTCAGAGTCCAAATTTAAAGGTCCCGATATACCCAGAACTAAACTCATACTCCCTCCGTTCGGAATTACTTGTCGTGAAAATGGATGTATCTAGACGTATTTTAGTTCTAGATACATTCATTTCCGAGACAAGTAATTCCGAACGGAGGGAGTAGGTGTTTTCTAGATCTCTAGATCGGTACATACAATTTAAGTACTTCTGAATTGTATGTTCTCTCAAAAAGAAAGTACTTCTGAGTTATACAAGCGTGGCAATGGTTTTAGTAGGCGCTGCATGGATAGGGTTGGTTTTTTATTTATGAGGCAGAAGGGGGTGGGGATGGGTGTTTATTGTGGCAAGGGTACAACAAGTATGAGTCAGAATGGTGGACAGAGAACAACAAACTCCTAGATGTAAGCCTCGGATGTTCTAAGATTTGGGTTCTACTCAGCTATCACAGACGGTTCCTCACACAAAGTCATATGTGATAGTCTTGTATTATTAGTGACCAATAAAGCCAGACGGTTCACAAAATCGTCAGTGATAATATTCTGTTTCTCACGGGGATGTCTTTGGAAAAAGACTTATGTTCATATGTGACACTAATGACAAATCAATGAATTAATCAGCGTGAGGGCAAATCCCCACATCGGAACTCGGCACAAACCCCTATTTACTATTGGATAGTGTGTCTTGGCGTGTAGCCACGTAACCCTGAGGTGGAAAAAACAAAGCAAGTTATCAAAAGTGTTGCTCCCTTTTTATATTTTCTTCTGCACACAGAAAAGTTATTAGAAATTCAGTTATATGAAATATTTTTATTTATGTGTCCATGTAGGTGGAATAGGTGGTGTTTTTGTCATGGCAGCCATATCATTCCTTATTCTTCTTCGCAAAGAGAAAAAGAAATCTAGGGAATTCTATGAGAAGAACGGTGGGCGTACATTAGAGAATGCAAAATTCATAAAACTGTTTGAGAAGGAGAAACTCAAGCCAATTTTGAACAGCAGCAATTTTATTGGAAAAAGGTGGCTTCGGCGAAGTTTACAAGGGCATTCTTGATAATGAACTAGTCGCAGTGAAGAAGCCGATTAGTGGTAGTGCGCTAGAAAATGAACAATTTGCAAATGAAGTCATCATTCAATCTCAAGTCATCCACAAGAACATCGTTAGGCTCATAGGTTGTTGCCTAGAAGTTGATGCCCCGATTCTAGTATATGAGTTTCTCTGCAACGGTAGCCTCGATGACATTCTTCATGGCAACAACAAGGTGCCCCTCAACTTGGGTGTGCGTTTAAGTATTGTTGCAGAATCAGCAGATGGTCTAGTTTATATGCACTCGAAAACCAATACCAAGATTCTACATGGCGATGTTAAACCAGCTAATATACTTTTGGATGATAAGTATGTGCCAAAGATCTCAGACTTCGGCATATCAAGGTTGATTGCAAGAGACAAACAACACACGGGATCTATCATTGGTGACATGAGTTATATGGATCCGGTATATCTACAAACAGGGCTACTAACAGAAAAAAGTGATGTCTACAGTTTTGGAGTTGTCATCTTGGAGCTTATTAGTAGGAAGAAAGCTACACATTCCGACGGTGGTAGTTTAGTAAACAATTTCCTTGAAGCTTACAAGAAAGAGAAGAAAGCAACTCCATTATTTGAGGAGGAAATTGCGGTAACAGAAGATTTGGACATTCTTGATAGTTTGGCATGTATTGTTGTGGAATGCCTTAACCTTGATGTGGATCAAAGACCATGGATGACAAACGTAGCAGAGCGTCTCCTCATAATGGATCCATCCCGCAAGTCGTAATTTGCGTTGCATGTTGTAGTTTGAACAACATGTGTATATGTATGGGGTCGAAAAAAGGCGACTATGAATGGGGCAACGTCTATCTTATTGCTGTTGTGAACAAAATCGTTGAAGTAGAACCAAGGAAGGTCTCCCTTGGTTGCAAGAAAATTTGTAATGTATCTCTTTGTGTAACAGCGTGTTTTTACCTAATGTATCAGCTCGTTAATTTAATTGGCCGTATTTCTGAGGAATCATCGTCATTTATTATCTGAATGCACCCCTTTCATCGACTGCATTCTAACATCCTAGTATAGATGGCCTCGAGTGAAAGTACCAAATCTGTTGACTTCCTGGAACACTTAGTTGCATTTACTCCTTTGGTTTCTCCCGGTTGGTGTCATGCTGCCCAAGACTTCACTGCTGCACCATTCTCTGCCTGCTTGCTTCTCATTGATCGATAGGCATTTCCAACTTCAGTTTGCCCAACGACATTGGCGATTTTTCTCACTAGATCCAATACGAAACTCCCCATCATTCATCCTCGAAAGCAACATTGGTCTATTGCGACAATACTAGTGCCACATACTTGTCCACAAACCTAGTGCAATATCAATGTACCAAGCATCTTGAAATGGATCTTCACTGTTTCATGGATTGCCTGCTCTAGGTGAAGATCGAATACTTCATGCGCCATGCGCTTCACAATTTGCGGATATCTTCACGAAGGGGTTGACATCTGTGGTGTTTCAAGACTTTAAATCCAGCCTCAGCAACCTCCCGGGTAATGTTCCGGCGGAAGGGGGTGTTAAGACCTTAGTTTGTGATTACGCATTCGTTTGTTCAAGAGTTAATGTGTTTGTAGCAGATTAAACAATGATCGATGCATTTGCTTGCAACTGCATTTTGTCTCTCTGGATGATAGCTATGACTCGTCTAAGATAATTGAAGGAGCTATGTTATTTTCTGTTACAAACTGATCTTTCTAACAACATTTTGAAAATAGACGTCTTTGTACTATTTGATCATGCCAGCTCGATCCACGAACATATTTTGGTTGATTTTCTTCAGAATACAAGGGCATAGTTTTGAGTAAACTCATGTACAACAGAGTTGTCTCTATTATTCAGAGCTCTCCTAGTTTTGTACGCAATGATACTCAATGTCTTGACCCGCCACTGCACTTGGCAGCATCTACCCTCAAAGATTTCTGAACCGCGCCCTGCACAATACACCGAGCGATGCACTTTACTTTTAGTTTAATGCTTGTTCCCCATAAAACGAATTACATAGTTGTTTGATACTTTGATTAATGGATATAGATAGTGGTCACGTCACGGACTAGTAAAGAAAAGAGCATTGCTATACTGCTGACGCTTTGGACACGATACTAAGCCGACGTTTACATCAGGCCATTTGTAAAGTTGATGCTAGGCTATCTCACGGTGTGGCCGTGCTTGAGGCCACTGGCGCAGCAGCTCGCATGGCTCCAATGCCCACTATCTCCCTGCTTGCTGTCACTACCCAGTCTAGTGATGATTAAAGAAAGGAGAGAAGATCTACTATCCTTTTTTGCTGCCACGCTCAGTCGAGCGATGATTAAAGAAAGTGAGAGAAGATGAAAGGTGATACTGGAGTACGTAGCAAGGAATGACGATGAGTATAGCTGAATCGTCTACGGTACAAATAAGTAAGCATGATTAAAGACGGAGAGGGAGATGAAAGATGGGTGTACCAATAAGTTTAGCTAACAATGTGTATAGCTCTCAGTATGCCCGGACAGTGTAATATATGATGTTTGGGGACCTTGTACTAGGTGACGTAGTAAGTTTTTTCTTGTGTGTTAAAAGTTATGTAATAAGTTAGGTTGTATGCATCTTATGATATAGAGACCGTGTTAGTAAAATCTTCCATTATCTAAAAGAAAGACCAAAGCATCTGCAAATTATCTTGACTGCATTGTATGAAAACTAAATCATGGAGGACAGACCCAACATTATTCCCTGTTCATCATTCAGGCCGAGCAAACATCATCATGCTAAGCTCCTATAGATACCCTATGCGGCTATTGTCATCACCACATGGTAACTTACATATCAAAATCTAAAAGGGCGAAGATGCTTCTATTATGATCATGGCCCACCTCTTATAGAAAACAAAACGAAGGTCGTGCAATCTTTGTTATCTTACTAGGGCGAGCCACGTTCCAATCATCACCGCTTGACTAGTTAGCACTTGCCAGAAATGTGTGGAGCAAGCTAGCTGATAAACAATAATTCCCCTCAATCGATCGTGTGTGTTCCTCGATCAAATGGTGGCCGACATAATCAAATCGTACAAAGATGCATTACTAAAGTAGAGAGTCGGAGTACTTTTATTAAAGGTGGCAATTACCTTGCAATGGTACGTGTTCCAGCCTTTTCTTTTAGGAATGGTGTCACCTTTCTTTCCTTGCAATGGTAAGTGCATTCTTTTGTAGCTTGTGGAACTACCATTTCAAACAAACAAGCATCTTATAGTGAAAAGAGAGAGAATATGAGGATTAGTACTAGTACTATCGATTGTTTTAAAAAGCAGGTTATGGTAAATAGCGGCGGTCTTCCAAAATAGATATACTCCCTCCATTCCGAATTACTTGTCGCACGTACGGATGTATCTAGATGTATTTTAGTTCTAAATACATCCATTTCAGCGACGAGTAATTTGGAACGGAGGGAGTAGTAATTAAGGCTACAGCCGGCTATTTTATAATTTTATTGGACACCTGTACATAAATCTTATAGCTAGGCATTTAGTGGCACCATGGTCAAACAACTATAGCAGAGCTATAATCGGCTATCTAAAACTTTGGTACTACCAAAGAATGATGATGGGAATATAGTAGAACCATCAACACTAATATATAAGTGTAGACGACTCAGTAAACCACAACAGAGCATAATAAGCTTTGCATCCATATCATAGACCTAAGTTAGCTTCCAAGGGAGCGCAAAAACACACACCATGACCATGCCCTCTGAATTCCATTCCCAGCCCCTGAGCACAATCCTACTCCTGCTCGTCCTCCTTTCAACAGCATCTCACATGATCCTGGAGGCTGTTGCTTCTGAGCAAGATGAGCAGCAGCCAATCACACTTCCGGGTTGCCCTGACAAGTGCGGCAATATAAGCATTCCCTACCCATTCGGCATGAAGCCTGGCTGCTTCCGCGAGGGCTTCCAGGTCACCTGCAACGACTCCTTCTATCCCCATCGCGCCTACCTTGCCTACGACGGAGTATTCCAGCGGATTAATGAGATTTACTTCAGGGCGCAGGTATGGTATGTTTGGCATGCCAAGTAGTAAGTACTTACTGGAATGCGTGGTAAGAGTAACTAATTAATTGATGTTTCTTCCTTTTGAGAAGGAAATTAATGTTGTGTTCTGGTATTGGGCCGTAAATTAATGCAGAAAGGGTTGTGCCAGCGTAATCGTGTTTGGAATAGAACACGGGAAGATACGGCCTTGGAGCTCATCGATATATCAGTTGCAAAGGGTGAGGCGCGCGCATACGCCGCAATCTCATCTCGCTGCAGCGCAAACCATACCGACTCCTTAAGCAAATCTCTACGGATGCGGTTGGGAGAAAAGATGAGCCCGTTTGTCGTGTCGGTGACACGCAATGTTCTCATCGGCGTAGGCTGGAGAGTCCAGCCTAAGATGAATAGCTACTTGTGGTCAGCGTTGGCGTCAGACGCGGTGTCGGCGCATGGATATTCATCGAATGAACTCACTATTTCCTGCCTTTCATACCTCATGCGCATGCCGCAGTTCCTCAAGTTCGCGACCAACGGGTCGTGCTCGGGGCGGGGCTGCTGTCGGGCTGCCTTGCCCGAAGCGGTTGCACTCACCAGGTTTGCATTGTGGATCAGTTTCGATGAACCAAACACCTTGTTTGTGACCAATCCATGCTCCTACGCCATGGTGGTGGAGAGCACATGGTATAACTTCACCACGCCGGACATGTACGGTTACGAGGAGATACCCAAGAAATTCCCAAGGGGCGTCCCCTTGGTAATCGATTTCTCCATCAGGAATGGTTCATGTCCAGAGAAAGGCCAGCATCCACCTCCGGACTATGCTTGTGTCAGTGGCAACAGCTCATGTTCAAACGCGACCAGTGGCCTGGGTTATGTCTGCAAGTGTTGGGACCATTACGATGGGAACCCTTACATCGCCAATGGATGCCAAGGTCAAATTAAAGTTTTTAATTTACAAATCCAGACTCTCTCTTTTACACCTTACTGCTTATATAGGAACTCCTTAATTTCATAACTTTATGTTTTTTTTTCAGACATTGACGAGTGTAAGCTTCGCGATTTATATCCTTGCTCCAGTGACGGGATCTGCAAAAACACGTTGGGAGGATATGCATGTCCATGTAAATCCGGAATGAAAGGCGATGGCGTAAAAGGAACCTGCACACATATTTTCCCCCAAGCAGCACGGACGATTTTGGGTAAGAAAAATTTAAGCCAGCGCATGCCCCACATTGATTAATTATAACCATGTACCTTCTTTTATGGTACTCTCAATGCTTGGTGGTTAGCACGGTTTCATAGGCAAAAATGTCGAAGTGGCATAATAATTAAAGAATAAATAGAATGGAGTTGTATGTTTTATAAAGGGAAAAGTATACTTTTCTACCCTCAACTTTACCGACAGTCTAGAAATGATTCTTCAACTACAGACCAGAAAAATCTAGTCCCTCAATTGTTGAAACCGGATAGTTTTTGTCCCTCAAACGACTTGAGGTGGTTTTGTACTGACACGGCATGGTTTTGATAATTGACATCGCCACATCGTCGTCCACCTCACCTTCGTCTCTCTCTCTCTCTCTCTCTCTCTCTCTCTCTCTCTCCCTGTTCACAGGGAAGCACCTCACCGCATGCCTGCTCTGCTGCCTCCGGCAGCCTTGGCCTCACCTTCGTGCTCGTCCACCTCTTCCTTCGCTGCTGATGATACATCCATACGCAACTCGATAGATCCTCCTATGCGGAGCTAGCCAAGCAAAGTGATTTGCCGCCGGCCAGAAATGCCGAACCCTCAAGCACATACACACGAACCAGTGGGCTAGAAACACAACACAGGCACGCACAGAAAAAGGTGACTATGTTTGCTAAAGGTTCGTCTCGAGCCTTGTTGATTCTTCACGACTTGTTTACAGGGGATCCGCTAGCTCCCAATAGCAAGTGGTGGAGCATCCCTTATAAAGTGGTCTCACTCTTCTTACTGTAGTAGTATGGAAATAAACTTCCCACACTTTCCACCATTTTCCATACACATGCATGGACCTTAGAGATTAACCAGGGATTATTGTCTTGTGTGGACCTAAGCCCACCCATAATCCATCAGTAACCATGTGTCATCGGATTCTTCTCCGGCCTGGGCGAGTGAGAGAAGATAGAGGAAGAAGACGAAGATAAGGTGAATGATGACGTGGCGAGCTCACTGGACAAAACCATGCCACGTCAACACAAAACCACCTTGAAGCCTCTTGAGGGATGAAAACTACCTGGTTTTAACAATTGAGGGACTAGGTTTTCTTGGTTTATAGATGAGGAACCATTTCTAGACCATCGGTAAAGTTAAGCGACGAAAATTATGCTTTTCCCTTTTATAAAACAGGGAGACGAAAGGCGCGGCGTAGGCGGACACGAAATTGGCCAAACAGAAGTCGAGTGTTGCTTTTCAGATACTCGGCATGCAGGGAGGCAAAAATATAAGCTAAGTGTTCCATTAGTGGTTATTTGGCTTATATATATAGCCCGCCGACACCGACACCTTACACGTGTCAAGGTTGGTCACGTGGCAGCTACAATGTCGAGGCTCACCTACAAGCCGAGTGTTTTCCCCTTAATAAGACGAGTTCTCCATGTAAGCCATGTTCATTATTAGCTTTGCTCAGCGTGTACAGGGATACGACGAGAGACTTACAATTGCCATGTTCTTTTTGCTGGTAATTGCCTTATAGTAGGTGTATAAGCTGAGTACCTGATAAATAACACTTGGCGTACAGAAAAACACTAGGCAACATGTATTTTTCTCGTAGTGTCTTGTAGGTAGGTGCTACTCTAGTGTACGTACTAGTTGGTGCACTCATAAGCATGATACTATGCACTACGAAGGTGCTATCATGCATACATCCGTAACATATGTATGGTTCTAGTATATGATATTTCCGCTTGCCAGCAATGTTAGGCCACAATGTTGAGATGCAAACATGATCTTTAAGTGAAATAAATAAAACACCAATTTGCTACAACACCTAAGAAACAATTCATTGGGGTGATTGTTTCTATAAAATCTTTGACCACCTATGATGACACACTAAGAGCCAATACATTTGGAATGCCCTCAGTTGTTTCATACTGCATGTACTACTAAAGGATCTAAGTCTAGCTTTTAATTTCTTTTATTTTACTCCATACATAATTGTTTTGTTATCTACTTAACTAGTAAAGTGGACCGCGCAAATGCGTGGGCAGCCCTTTTTATTGCCATATATTATTCTTATTAAATTTATAATCTAACGTAATATTATAAATTTAACTCTCTCTGAGGCCAAGTTTGGCACAAATCATCCTATCCATCATACTTAATATAATGGTGCAATAATGAAATTAATATAGGTTTTAGTTATACATTTCAGACCTAAATAGCTCAATACATTGCTCTTTATTCAATCCCTTTTCCTAATTATGTGAAATCACATCTTCTATTTCTCAATTTCAGTTATGTCACTATGATTTTTACCCTACTATTTAAATTATTGTCTTTGTGTGATCCCTGTAGAATAGTAGTGAATTTGTTCAAGGCACAAAATTGTCAGAAAAAAATTCTGGAGTTCCAAATCTTGTGCCATTATCTCTTCGGAAATTTATAAAGGAAAGAATATGTGTTATTTGTTTATGTTTTTGCCAGTATTATTGAAAAAGTACAATTCTTCATCATTCGTATAATATGAGATTTGGTCTGGCTACCTTAAAATTTCATGACCATTTCCATATTAACTATGCATGGTCCATACAGAATTGAAATTATTATGCAACATTATATACTTTTATATTATAATCTAGTGCACGACAAACCATTCTGAGTGCATAATTATGTGCCTTGGTCTCCGTGCCGAAAATTATACACCTTACATAAAGCAATGGAGGGAGTATAAAGTACTTATTGAGGATGGCACGTCTCCATAATTATTGACTAAGCGTCTAAGCATTTTATTCTTTTGGATGCAATGCAAACCAAATCTCTCTTACAAAATCGACATGTATAGATCAATTAATTCATGCTATACTTCTTCACGATTATTTTGCGGGAAAAACTTTTGATGTGTGGACCATCTAGTGACGACTACAAGCACTCGATCGAGCCGAAGAATGTGTGCCGCCATCATTGCCCCTCCGTCAACGGAGTTTGAGATAACTTGTTGTAGTAGAGAGTCGGGAAGTCCCGTGTTGAGCCCCATAGGACTAGTGCATCAGAATAACAACCGCCGCCGATGAAGAGAACGTAGGTCGAAAGGATCCAACCTATAGACACACGAACAAAGACAAACGAAGATTGGATCCACGGAGACCTATTCAAGACCAACATTGACTGAATCCCACAACATCCACCGGAGCCACCTTTACACGCCTTGCGATGATGCTTGATGAACCACCGAGACGGCAGCTAGGTGGGGTGTACACTATTCCATCTACAGGGAGCCGCCATCGTCACGTCTTTCCAAGAAGCACACAAACCCTAATCGACCTCGAAGAAACACTTAATAACAAAGAAGGACCCCTTCCTTTGACAAGGGGCAGGGCCCACCACTCCTCCATGGTCCTATGGCCACCGAAGACGAGGCGTACCAACGGTGGCACTGGCGGGAAGTAAAGAAACCCTAATCGCGTGTGCCCTCGCGTCTGAGTTGGATTCCTCACTAATTCATGGTTTGTTCAGGCAAAAAACTTGAGTACACCTTTTATTTATTTTAATAACAGAGGGGTTCAAACGCTCATATGTGATCTTCCTTGTTTATTTTATAGCAACTCAAAAATAAAACACATGTCATCTTTCTATCTAATTATCTGATGATTGCGAGTGTTTAGGGCATCTTCAAAGCTGCCCCGCAAATGGCTCCGGTATATGTCCGTTTTTATGTCTGAACGTGGTCTGAGGACATGTTGTGCGAGAGACTCATCCAACCATTTTTACAAAATAATCCTTATTTGTCTGGTTCAGAGGAGAGAGGGTAGAGGCAACCATACATGTGCGGAGAGAGAAAAGAAAGGAGGACTACGTGGTGGCTTTTTGTCGGTAAGTGGATGTCCAGACGTCGGTATAGCTCCCCCACGTTTGTCTTAGATTCGCCAGAAAACGGACGTCCGGACCACTTCACGGACCGAGGGGGGTCTCCATTGAATGACAAAATTTGGCATAAATGGCCCGGACACTACAATCTAAAAATATACCGAAGCTTTAAGAATTTCCTTTGGAGATGTCCTTAGTAGCTAGAAACAAACGCACTATTACGTAGCTAAGCTGGACCAAGTCTACCTGACTTCAAGTGGTTAATAAAGTTGAAACCTGATGTTCTTATCCGTGCATTTTTTTAAGAAAAGGAGGATCAGCCTGCTTTTGCAAGCGGGAAAGAAGTAAAGAAATTATGTATTGTTTCCTCCTGATGTAAATAATATTGTTTACTACCTCGCCACCTTCACTTTGTCAGATGGTCCTTAGCGAGGATAAGTCCTCTATGCACAAACTTCATAAAATTTTAAACTTCAGTGATACTTTAGTTTTCCATATATGCTTTGAACGAAAAACCGGCCCAGATTAAATTCATACTTAGATTTATCAGAAAACATGCCAGAAGACGTCACCTTCCAATGGAACATATCTGACTCATTAATTAAGATGTCCTCCATCAACCTCCATACAAGATTTTGTATATTGGATATTTAAGGGGATATTTAAGGGGATGTCCCCATTATAGTGCTCACAAAATCATTTTGTATATTTTCCATGTAGGTGCAACAAGTGGTATTTTTTTTGGTGGCAGTCTTGTCATTCCTTATTTTCCTTCGCAAAGAGAAAAGGAAAATGAAAGAGTTTTATGAGAAGAACGGTGGGCGTACATTGGAGAAGGCAAAATTCATAAAACTATTCGAAAAGGAGAAGCTCAAGTCAATTTTGAAGAGTAGCAATTTTATTGGAAAAGGTGGCTTCGGTGAAGTTTACAAGGGCCTTCTTGATAATGAACAAGTCGCTGTTAAGAAACCTATTACCGGTAGTGTGCTAGAGAATGAACAATTTGCAAATGAAGTCATCATTCAATCTCAAATCATCCACAAGAACATCGTTAGGCTTGTGGGTTGTTGCCTAGAAGTTGATGCCCCGATTCTAGTCTATGAGTTTCTCTGCAATGGTAGCCTCGATGACATTCTTCATGACAGCAGGAAGGTGCCTCTGAACTTGGGTGTGCGTTTAAGTATTGCCGCAGAATCAGCTGATGGTCTGGTTTATATGCACTCAAAAACCAGTACCAAGATCCTACATGGTGATGTTAAACCAGCAAATATACTTTTGGATGATAAGTTTGTGCCAAAGATCTCGGACTTCGGCATATCAAGGTTGATTGCGAGAGACATACAACATACTGGATCTATCATTGGTGACATGAGTTATATGGACCCAATATATCTGCAAACAGGGCTACTAACAGAAAAAAGTGATGTCTACAGTTTTGGAGTTGTCATCTTGGAGCTTATTAGTAGGAAGAAAGCCACACATTCTGACGGCGGTAGCTTAGTAAACAATTTCCTTGAAGCTTACAAGAAAGAGAAGAAAGCAACTCCATTATTTGACGAGGAAATTGCAGTAACAGAAGACTTGGAGATTCTTGATAGTTTGGCCTGTATCGCTGTGGAATGTCTTAACCTTGATGTGGATCAAAGACCATGGATGACAGACGTAGCAGAGCGTCTTATCATACTGGATCGATCCCGTAAGTCACAATTTACACTGCATGTTCC